TTAACCCCGAGTAAATGCACGAATAGCTTAACCCAAGTAAATGCACGAATAGCTTAACCTAAGTAAATACACGAATAGCTTAACCCAAGTAAATGCACGAATAGCTTAACCCAAGTAAATGCACGAATAGCATAACCCAAGTAAATGCACAAATAGCTTAACTCAAGTAAATGCACGAAAGGTTACCTCAAGTAAATGCACGAATAGATTTACCCAAGCAAATGCACGAATAGGTAGCTGGTGCTTACGATGTTTCTATTATCTTCACGTGACTCAAGGCTGGTCGCGTGAGAATTTTGGTAATTTGTTAGTTGCGGCTCTCGATTCTTTCAATACTTGTGTCAGCCGGCGTATAGCTTGGTATTATTTCGCAGATTATATGTATATTTGTGCTATGTTGGTACCGCAGGTGTACTTTTCCATCTCATTCGAGCTTAACACTGGAGTAGATGGTTCGCACGAACCACAGACCGGCAAGGAACCCGATGGAGCCACACATGATCATGATTGCTAGAGAGCATAACACTGTGAAGCCTGTAAACATCAGGATACTCACGGGGTCTACGAACTTCAGTGTGGTGAAGAAGTAGAAGTACGAGTATATTGCAAAGTAAATAGCGGTGGAGCCAGCCGCGATGAATGATCGCCACCACCAGCGGTAGTCCTGGGTTTTAGGGTTTTGGTTGGGGAAAGGATGCAAACGAGGCGTTAGTACATCTACCTTGAAGGCAAATGCTGAAAATATATATATATATATATATGTGTGTGTGTGTGTGTGTGTTCAGGAGAGATTAGAGCACTAACGATTCTAAACAAGGCGCAGTACCTACCTCGACGCACAGTTGTGTGTAAACCGTGAGAATCGATACTTGGGCTGAGATGACCAGGAGGATGGCATAGACGATGAATAGGAACGCGGGCAGGAAGTACAGGCGGTGGTTCCAGAACGAGTTGAGGAAGAAGAATAGCTCAACAAAGATGGCAGCAAAAGGGACCAGACCACCCAGCAGCATGGGACTGATATGGCCTCCGCATGAGCTCTGTGCGGTAGTTCAGGAATTCAAGGCACTTTAAATTAGATTGAGAAAGCACGCCATAAGTTGTTTATAGTCTCGACATGCAGCATTAAGTACGATCAGGAGTAACCAACATTTAGGTCTGGTATCAGTATTTGAGCAACAAAAGTAAGACAGCGAACCCGAAATGACATACCTGGAAAGGAATCTGACGGGGAATTGGGTTGGCTTTCATAGGGAACTCAATAGCGCTCTTCTTAAACCCCAGATAAGCGCCCAGGAAGCAGAGTGGTACTGAGATTAGGAACCACATAGCCAGCAGGCATAGAATGCTGGTGAATGGCACGGCGTTGGATGACCCATACACCGCAGCAACAATGTTGAGTGCGGCGAACACAACAAACGCCACTCCAGGGCAAAAGAATGCGGTTAGGAGACAGTTGGTCTTCCAGCGTTCACCACCGAAGGACACGTACAATCTCGCGGATGTGTAGCCGGCTGGGAACCCGAGCAGCACAAACGATGTCACTGCGCCGGTTAGTGCGGAGCCACGGCGCGTGGGCGAGTAGATGTGCAGGAACGCAAAGCACAGGGCGATACCTACTGCAGTTACCATCTGCACGCCTGAGCCGACCAGAACCGACAGCCACATACCATGGGCTGGGCGACGGAACACATCGCCGTGCAGCAGCTTCCAACCGTACTCTTCAATCACGTCCTCGCTCTCACCGCTGGCCAAGTTGTAGCGCGTGATGTCTCGGTACACGGTACGGAAGAGTATCATGGCGACCAACCCACTTAGCAGGACCACAATGGCCATGGAGATGGCAATACTCAACCAGCGAATAGATGCATCCTCTACCTGAAGATAGGCGTCCCATCGAGACGCCCACTTGGTGGACGTGGGCACGAACTTGACGCTGTACGTGTATGGGATTTCTAGTTGCCTGACCTTCTCGTTCAGTTCAATGGACTTTGAGTAGTCGGGCTGAGCGCACGAGTGCTGACTCTTCACGCCAACATTAACACCGACGATTCCGAATTTCTTCCCCGTGTTTTGCGACAGATACTGATCTACCGTGCTCTCTATATCATTATAGTAGAATGTGAAGTCGATGTGATTGTAGATGAAGTCTTCGTGCTTGTCGCCGTTCTGTTGTCTGGCTCCCACTGGGTGCCCCATAGAGTGAGGGACGTATGTTTCTCCCTGGATTGTGCTCAATATGACATCCAGATTGTCAACGAGCCTGTTTGTGCATGTAATAGAATCAGGAAGCTGAGATGCTACAATAGGAAGATTAGTCTAGCGACCGTTAAATTACAGCTTCAACTGGATAGCTGGCTGAACACAACCCAAATCGGAGATTCCACTCCCTGGACACAATTCAATTTAGCATAACAGAGATACAATGAGAACGGGCGAATTTGTACTATACTGAATTGACCAGGACCCCGCGGTAAAACACATACCAGTGGTGCATATAGCTCTTCTTGATTGCCTTCGTTAATTCCTTGATTTTACCGTGATCCTTCTTGTTAGAGAAATCATATTTCTTGGTACACACGGCGGCACACTCCGTATCCTCCATAAATTTGATCTATGAGCGGGCAATAGTATATTTGGATATTGTGGATGTGAGCTGAGTATTCCCTATTTCGGATGCTTATAGCGGATATACATGCACAGGTTAGAATGAATTTAAAAATATTTGCAGGTCACAAACGTATAAACGTGTTTCATATTGGATATCACAACTCGAGGATGTACTTTACTGATACATACCGGGTATCCGATGGACTCGTAGTCGTCACCCAAGAGACGTTGACCCAAGTTTTCGGGCTGTGTTTGGAATCCCTCATCCTTGCCACAGAAGTCGTAGTGGTAGTAAGGGTAGGGCACTGCTGTCTTCGGCGAGGCCATTTTACTTGACCATACTGTAACTGTATCTCCCTAACATATTTGAAGTGGGATGAAACTATCAAAACATTGGACAATCGTACAATGCCGTCATGAATACATATACATTCCTGCCAGTGCCCTGGCTATCAGTAATTGAAACAACTTTCTTTATGGGCTTCATGTATTAAATGTTGTCAAAGCACTAGACATCTGGCAGAACAATGGATCAAGAAGAGGAAGCTACAAACTTTTTGACGAGCCTGGTGCTCGAGGTGGTAAATATTGGTCATTGACATCATATGGAGCTGATCATCTACTATTACTGTATTTTTATGCTATTATCTGTATATTGTGCAATCATGAACATAGAAATTAGACGTTGTGAAGGATTCGAAGGTCAGTTTGATAACATACCTTCGAAAACCCAGAGTTTATAATAGCGTCGGCCTGCGCTACTGCGCCAAGCAGCAGAAGGCTACTGTAGATTTTCATCATGACTTAAAAAATTCTACAACGGAATTCTGAGCGTTCTGGCAACGCTAACATTATGTATATATGGTAGACGTAAGTCGAAAATACATACAGATGTATTTGTCTATTTGAAATGCTTGTTTTTCTTCGCTCTGTTTACACACATCTTCTCTTGTTGGGTATTACTATTTGGGATGTATTTATTATGCGGGCGTTCTCGTGCCAGACTCGGGTCTCAGCCTCTCAGCCTCTCATGTCTCAGGTCAGGTCTCAGGGCCTTCTTTCACCGGTAAAACACTTGGACAAGCACAAATTCACCATGACAACGACGCAATGTGGAAATAGAACACTAATGGATTTTCCGTCATCACTTTTCGTTTCAAATACTAACTTTTTAGGACTATTCTTTATAAATGTATGTGGTGCAAGTTGTGACCTCGGTTCGTCTCACGTCAAACCGTTTTAAAATCAATCGTTCCGCGATTCAACCGGGGTAATTCTCGCGGGTGTTCACGTATTTAATATACGTTAAAACGTATTTAATTCAATCTTGGTTGCGTGTACGTTCAACGTTTTACTGCATGGATGCGCAACTCAATAAACTGGACTAGTATTGTGTATATAAATTCTTAAAAACTTATCCCACTTTGAACACATCCTATCAATACAATGATAGGCATACAAAGAATATCGGAATGGCTCTGTTTCCGTGCTGTGAGCGATGCCATCTCGTGGGCTATGTTCGCCTGCTTCGCATACCTGATTTTCGTTGATGCCACCGGTCTATTTACCTGGGTCGACAGTATAAGTGGTGCCTCCGGTCCTTTTGTTCTTCGAAGCGCTTACTGTGTGGAGGTCACCGGTATGTCAAACTGTAATCCATTGTTGCGCTTATAGCTTTGATCAAGTGTAGTTATTGGTTTAGCAGGATGGTAGCGTAAAATCCGCAGATATGTACTGCTTTTCGGCTAACAATACAATAGACAAATCTACGCAAAACAGAATACACGCACATATTTTGGCTTAAGATTGTATATGCAATCGTATGTATGTACGTGGGTATAAAATTTTGTTCACTCACGTAATATCCAAGTATTCTTCATCAATCAATAAATATATATATATATATATATGTCTGTGTCTGTGTCCGTGTCTGTGTCTGTGTCTGTGTGTCTGTATGCATATATGTATATAATATATGTATATATATTATTATTATTATTATTATTATATATATGTATGTATGTATGTATGTATGTATGTATAAATGTATGTTTACATATATTATTATTATTATATATATATATATATAAATGTATGTATATACTGTATATATATATATATATACGTATGTATTATATATATGTATATATATATATATGTATGTACGTATGTATGTATTATATATATATGTGTGTGTGTGTGTGTGTGTGTGGAAGTATCCATATGTATATGCATGAGTTTATGTACATGTACATATTATCAAGCATATAAATATTGATATACAAACAAACATAATACATATGTATATATATATCTATATCTATATCTATATCTATATCTATATACAAGCATACGTATATATATGTGTGTGTGTGTACACGTGTATGTTTCAAAGATACATGTATTTCATGTATGTATGCAAAATCGTGTCGGATGTTATAAATCATAAACTTGATGTATACATACTTAGATATTATATCATAAACTTCATATGTGTTTCAGTCGTCAGCCAAATACTTCACATATGTCGCATTTAAAATATTGCAAGCCAAAATAGTTTAAAAATTGTAGAAAAATTGCCCTCAAACTTACATAAAACAAAAGCCAATATCTTATACTTTGACGAATGGATAATCAGTGAAGTGTTCATATTTGTACAAAAGGTGACACAAACTTTCAAGTCTGCCAAATATATATATATATATATATGATGTGTCGATGTGTGCTTGTGTCTGTGTGCGTATGTATATGCATATGTGTGTGTCTGTGTGTGTGTGTGTGTTTTATCGCTTGTTTGTTTTTGTATTTATATATATATATAGATATGTATAATTATATGTATGTATATTTGTAAATTTGTATATATTGATATATTTATGTGTATGTGTGTGTATGTATATGTATTTGTATATTTATATTTTTGTATGTATATATGTATATATATATTCATACATATGTATATGTATATATATATAAATAAATAAATATACATTTGTATTTATTTATATATATTATTATATCATTATATTATATATGTGTATATAATTATATTTTAATTCATATATATATATATATTATTATATAGTAGCATAGAAAATATGACATATCCTTCTCTGAGATACACCCTAAGATATGCGGTTACCTTGTACCTGAAAAAGATTGCCAATTTCTCGTGCTACCAGTAGATTGATGACCAGTCTATGCCATCCGTGCTTCAATAGCCAAAGCCACGCTATTGCAGATTCCAACACAATCGACGGCTCCCGCTGATAGAGGGTAAACCAGATCATCGCAGCTGTCACTAAACATACTGCAATTAGCTTTTAAATGTATCTATCAATCTTCCAGCCGTCATCTGGCCTCGACAACGGTGAATAGGCTGCAAATATATCAAATCTTGGCTGGACAGTGTTCCATGCCGTTTGGGCGTATACTTGGGATACGTCCGCTGAACCGCTACGGCTTCGAAGAAATCTAATTATCCCGCAAAGCTCGAACCACCAACATTTAGCATATGCAGCTGATACTGCCACTCCACTATTCCTCGACATACAGGTGTCGTTGGCCTCAACGGGGGTCTGCAGGACCTTGCCATCGTCCCCTCCAATCTGCCACAATGGGCCAGAACGGCCCTAATTCCCTGCGCCACGGGTGAACTGGGAATGCTGCAGAAGGTGGCGTACGGGGCTTCTCTAGCACGTCACATGTCACTGCTTACCGTCGACCGAGACATTGCAATGGCCACGCTGGCTGGGCCAGGGCTGATTGCTGTGGGCGTTCTGTGTGGAGCGATTGTTTGGCATCGACTGGGTGCTGTGTTTATATTTTCAGGTACGTCTTCTTCAGTAAACATATACATAAATATGCGTTTCAGGTTCTCCTCTTGGTGCATACGAAGCGACTGTGTGATAGACCGCTCAAGAGCTCATGCCATACCAAAGCAATACACTCACGGGATCAACTACCTAGTCATTGACCTTAAACCCAACTCCTATACCCTGTCTTGATCGATTGCAGGCGTGTGCGCTCTGACCTACGTGTTCATGTGTGTTGAGGGTGGTGTCATGCCCAACCTAATCCTGAGCATGATGGGAAGCATCACACTCTTATACACCGCCTTCAATCTACGGCGACCATACCCGTGGTACACTGTGCCGGTAGAAGCTCCTGAGAAGAGGGCACGTTCTGCCGATGGAACGAAGGCTGCAGCCCATTCATCGAAGGTATGTCGCGCTACGTGTTCTTTTGAGCTGTTTGGGCAACCTATCCCGGGTTTCGCTTGCTCGTCAGGGAGACCTGCTTCTTCACACACAGCAAGACTCTCGCACCCAAAACGAAGCATGTTTGAATGGGTTCGTACCTAGGAAGTTATATGCCAGCTGGATTTGTGTGGCACGTGCCTAGTCTAGCGAGTGGTTATTTTTAACACGCCTATACTATATCTATTTTCACCTTACAGATGCCAAAGGCTTTACGAAATCGAAAATTGAAGAACGAGAGTACCAAGACCGATGACAAGAGATGAAAGATGGACTGTTTTCGAGCCCGATCAAGCTTTTCATTCCAGTAGTTATTAAACAATAATTAGTTCTTAAGCCCAATGAAACTTTCATTTCAGTAGTCGTTAAATAATAATTAGTTCGTCAGCCCAACGAAGCTTTCACTTCGATATAACCATTAAACAATAATTTATACTCGAGCCCAACGAAGCTTTCACTTCGATATAACCATTAAACAATAATTAATATTTGAGACCAATGCAGGTTTCACTTCGATACAATCATTAAACAATAATTAATATACTTGAGCCCAACGAAGATTTCACTTCGATATAATCATTAAATAATAATTAATACTTGAGCCCAACGAAGCTTTCACTTCGATATAACCATTAAACAATAATTAATACTTGAGCCCAACGAAGCTTTCACTTCGATATATCCATTAATAATAATTAATACTTGAGCCCAACGAAGCTTTCCCTTCGATATATCCATTAAACAATAATTAATACTTGAGCCCAACGAAGCTTTCACTTCGATATAACCATTAAACAATAATTAATATTTGAGACCAATGCAGCTTTCACTTCGATATAACCATTAAACAATAATTAATACTCGAGCCCAACGAAGCTTTCACTTCGATATAGCCAGTAAACAATATTTATTTAATACTTGAGCCCAACGAAGCTTACACTTCAATATAGCCATTAAATACACAATAATTAGCTCCTGATCCCAATGACGCATTCATAATAGACGAGTGTAGAATCCC